ATAAAGGTTAGGGTGCCCTTTAAGCGCCCCACTTCGCACCAAAAAAAAGAAGTTAGTTCGAGAGCCATTCCAAGGAATTGAAATAGAATTTTCAAATAAATCTAAGAAGTATTTTACTATTTTTAATAAAACAAATGTGCACATTTATTGGGAGTGGATGATGGTTAAAAAAAGAGAACGAGAATCCTCTCTCGCCCGTCGTTCCTGGGGTTGGTACTGCCGCTATTACTCGAATCGGAAGGATTCATGTATCGGAGTTGTCTCTGATTCCCCCACTTCAAGCTCGGGAGATTGAAATTGTGGAGCGGCAGTTTTGATCTCTCCGTCCCCATCGCCATCGCCACACCACCACCATTACCGTCACCGTTGTCTGCTCGTCGTCTCACTGACTCTTCTCCCCTCCCACCAATATACACCATTGAACGGCCAGAACCAGAGCTTAGCTCACGAGCTCCCCCACCTTCCCCTCTCTCTCTTCGGAACCCACCGCCGGCGGTCAAGAGTTGTTGTTTTCTCTCTCTATTTCGATTTTTGTTTATGCGTAGAGGTTTGGAAAGCGCCGAGAAGAGGTTGGAAGATGGAATTTTAACATATATACACAAAAGGGCAAAGAGCAGTGAGATCGGGGGCGGTTCTAACGTTCGGGTGAAAGGAGAAATTGTGGGGGCTTTCGGAAATCCCCAATCCTGGGTGGGGCAGCAGAAGCGCGGAAGTTAAACTGCTAACAGGTGTTTTGGTTAGCAGATACTAACACGGGCCGGATTTGAGCCACGTCCCAACTGCTGCAATCCAAGGGCCGAGGATCGCGGGCCTATTAATTGGGGGTTGATGGGCTGAGAAGGAAGGGGGGGTTTTGGGCTGGAGCAGGCAAATGGGAAAAGTGGGCCCATTTTTCTTTGGGCGGGAGAAGGTAAAAATAAAAAAAGTGGGGCCAGGGGTTTGGGAATAAATTGGGGCAAAGAAAAATAAAAAATGGGAGGAAAGAAACCATTTATTGCCCAACCACCAAACTCTCTCTCTCTTTGTAAATCTCCCTCTGCCGCCCGCCACCCAATTGCGGCCGCCACCGTCCCAACAGTAAGTCCGGCCACCGTCGTTTCCTTTCTCCGACGAGCCTTGTCCACGATCGGCAGATGCTGATCGACGAGAATGGTGAGTTGGATGATCAACGAGCTTGTCCAATGAAGAAGGATAAACCGATCATCCAAAATAGTGAAGAAGAAGAAGAAGAAAATACAGAAGAAGAAGAAGACAATAAAGAAGAAGAAGAAGGTGGTGCTCCTACCGTCGATGAAGAAGAAGAAGAAGAAAATAAATGTTGATTGAGTAATTTATACATATGTTTTTGTTGTTGTGAGATTGGTTGGTTGCATTGAATGCTATTCAATGATATTGATGTTGTTATGGGGTACTGATATTGATACGGGGTTCATGGATACGACTGACTTAGATGTTTGATATTCGTCTTGACATGTTGGACGTGGTGTGTAACCTAATGTTTAATACCCCTGTTTGATACTAGTCTGGTACTTATGGATATTATTTTTTAAAGACTGGATATTTATTGAACATTATGCACTCTAACAGTTTGTGGGTAATATTTCATTTGTTTATTGGACAATATGGATAATAACATGTCTCATACCATTAACTCGCAGCTCATAACACGTTGGACCTAGAAGATGAGGAAGCGAGGAAGAACATCTTGTATCGCACTAAGGATGAGTGCTTGGATTTCTATAAACGCTATGCTAAAAAAAAAGGGTTTGGTGTTCGGATAGATGGAGAACACCTAAAAGAAAGGAAGAATTCTAATGGAGTGGTGGAGAAAAATTATTTTTATCTTTATTACTTTTGTAATAAGGAAGGTTGGACAAGCACTAGCGAAGTAAATGTCAATGTGGACGAACAGAGACAGCCGGAAGACAAAGTTGTGGAGAGAAGGCGCCCTAAAAGAAAGAGGACTCGAGTTAGGGATGGATGTCCCGCTCGTGTTCGTTTTCGATGGGATGCTACTAGGGACGGATTTGTGGTGTATGAATTCGTAGAAGCCCACAGTCATGATTTGCACTCTACCGAGCATATGCACTTGCACAAGTCCAACAAGTGCATGAGTGATGCTCAGAAAAAGATGGCCGAAGCTAATCGCGATGCCGGGATGAGTCTTAGTGCATCGTATCAATTATTGGCTGACTGTGCTGGTGGCTATCAAAATCTGAGATTTTCCAAATCGGATCAGAAGAACCACTTGAACAGTAAAAGGCAAAGGAATATGGCTCGTGGCAAAGCGACTTATTTGCTTGACTACTTTGAGGACCAAAAATAAAAGCATCCTGGCTTCTTTTATGCTGTAGAGGTAGATTGCGAGGAGAAAGTTGCTAATATCTTTTGGGCGGATAGTAGGATGCGTGAAGATTATGCGCTTTTTGGTGATTCGATCTCCTTTGATACCACCTTCCGAACCAATAAATACTTCCGTCCACTAGGTACGTGAACTACCTAACGAAGAAGATGTTTTTTCAACACTCGTTTTGTTATACATTGTCATTAATAGAATGTAAGGTGGTTCGAGAGTCGTCTGTTGTGATCCGATATTGACATGTGATGATAGGATATGCTTTTGTAACTGCTAGGATACTTGTCTGTCTTTAAGGGATACTAGTCTGGGCTTTACAGATATTTGTTGACATGTGTTGGCACACACATAAGGCTTGCAACCTTAGTTAGGGCTGCCCGCCGAGGGCCCATGGGCCGAAGGCCCATGGAATAGAAATGGTTAGGAGTAGAATGTAGTGGTCTGTTGTGATCCGATATTAACATGAGATTGCAGGATATGCTTTTTTAACTTGATGGATATTTGTCTGTTATAATGAGATAATAGTCAGTGCTTTACAGATATTTGTTGACATTTATTGTCATTAATAGTTGTCTTGTGCAGGGATGTTTGTAGGTTTCAATCACCACCGTCAAACTTGTGTGTTTGGTGCTTGTTTGATGTATGATGAGACCATACCGTCTTTTTAATGGTTGTTTGTTGCATTTAGTCGGTGCATGAAGAAGAAGCTCCCAGTCACTATTTTTACTGATCAGGACGCCGCCATGGCAGCTGCCCTTAGAAAGGAGTGGCCAGAAACGTTTCATGCACTCTGTACTTGGCACATCCTCATGAATGCCAAGAAGCATCTTCGTAAAAACAAGGCATTTTGGAAGAAGTTCCAATCTCATCTTTCTTATATTTTCTACGACGTCGACAGTGAGAGAGAGTTCGACATGGCATGGAGCACAATGGTTGCTGATTGTTTCCCTAATAGCGAAATTGCGGACGGTCACCCATGGTTGGAATATTTGAAGAAATTTCGCCATCAATGGTGTTCCCTATGGTTGAGAGATCAATTCACAGGAGGGATGTTGACTACGCAAGCCAGCGAGTCGTGCAATGCACAAGTGCGACGTTTCTTGAAACCGAAGCATGATTTGGACATGTTTTTCATTCATTTTAGCAGGTACGTACGCAATATATATCTTTGCCTTTCTGTGATATTAGCTTGTTCGTTGGGGATATTTTTCTTTGTCATATGGATATTAATATGCTCTTGTTAAATATTTGTATTTGTTGTTCTGATATTAGTACTATTGTGAGTGGATATTAGTCTGGGCACTAATCTCTTTTCTCTTGCTTTCTAAATGTAGTTTGGTTGTGAAAAAAGACGCAAGGAGAGTGATTCAGACTACAGTGGGAAACAATCGGTTCCCTATATAATGTTGGAGCACAGCCCGATCCTAAAACATGCGGCAAAGATCTTTACTTCTAACATCTTCAATCGGATACAGAAGGAGTATTTGACAACTGAAAAATATATAATGGAGACGCTCTCGGATACTAGGGATGATGGCATGATTGGCTACCGCACATATATGATAGAGGATGGTGAGCGTAGTGATGAGCGTGTCGTTCTCGTCGATATTTCTACGAGGACATTGGTATGCGAATGCAGAATGTTCAGAACTTTCGGAGTGTTATGTCGCCACATGATTAAGGTGATGCGGCTTCTTGGAGATTTTGGGGAAGCTAGTATGAGAAGTGTTCCAGATCATTACATACTCAAGCGATGGACGTTGGAGGCGAGAAAGAAAGAGGTTGTTGATGTCGATGGTTCTGTTGGTCCTTCAGATTCTAGTGAGAATGATGCCGGTAAAGATATAGCAATGCGGTACCGAGAAACCACTGCAATGTTGAATCAGCTAGCAACGAACATGTCGATGGCCGATGAGAAGGACTACAATAAGTGGATGGGAGTAATCAAGAAATTGTGCAATGAGGCAAACAAGGCATTGTCAAAGACTATTACTAGCGAGGACAGTAAGTATATACACTAATATCATTTGTAAATTGTTAGAGTTTAATATCATTGCATTTACTAAATTCTCTACCATTGTAGGACGGAATGTACCGATAACTGGGCTGACTTTGAAGAAGAAGAGTAATCCAGGGAGCCAAGGTAAGGAACGTTATAAGTGTACCAATGAAAAAGAACGTCGTCGAAAGAAACGTGTCTATAAGAAGAGAATGAAATCAGTTGAAGTGGTCACGCCGGACAACAATACTCAACCGGATGACCATATTAGCGATTTGGATGATAATATTGCTCAATGGTTATGAATAGAATGTAGGGAGGTTCGAGAGTGGTCTATTTTGATATGATATTGACAAGTGATTCCAGGAAAAGTTTTTGTATAGAAGTGGATATTAATCCACTTGTATAGGATACTTGTGAGTGCAAACTTGCTATGCACTCTATTTTGTACAGATATAGGTCTGGGCTTCCTGGATATTTATGTATAGAATGTAGGGAGGTTCGAGAGTGGTCTATTGTGATATGACATTAAAGGTTAGTATCCTTTACAAGTGGTCTATTTATGTAGAGTATCCACTTGTGAAGGATACTTTTCTGGGCAAACTTGATATGCACTCGATATATAACAGATATTAGTCTGGGCTTCCTGGATATTTGTATTTTCAATGCAGGTACAATTGTTCCAATGATTACTTATTTCACTATTCACATGTGACCTTTTTGGTTACTGTACTCATGTGATCTTTTTTGTTACTGTGCTCACGTTACCTTTTTTGCATTTGTCTATTTAAGACAAATCATACACAAACCCAAATCTGCTATCCTCCTCTCTCAGTTTCTTCTTCACTTCTCTTCCAAAGCAAAATCCATGTCTGGAGAGACTCCTAAACCAGCGCGCCGGGGATTGGTGGATGAGTTTGAATATGACGGTGTTGTATTCTGTTACCATGGTTGGAGAGCCGCCAAACGACTTGCTGTTGATGGAGTCAACCCACCGAAGAGGTATTTCCGATGTCGGATGTACGAGTACGACAATGATAACGGGTGTGGTTTTCACATGGATTGGGACGAATTAATGTTCGCCGGTTTTTCAGAGTCGATGATGGAGATAACACCGAGGAGACCGTGAAGAAATGAATTTGTATTTCCTGTCATCACTTTGTATTGTGTTGAGTTTGTTTCTCTGTGATATTTGTCTGGGTCTTTAGGATATTCGTCTGGGTCTGTAGGATATTTGTATGGGTCCGTAGGATATTCATCTGGGTCTTTAGGATATTTGTATGGGTCCTTGGGATATTAGTCTGGTTCTATCGGATATCTTGTTGTCTCTTTCAGATATTCTTCTTCCTTTTGATGATGTTTGTTTGAAGAAAGATGGTATTTGTATGGGCTAAATGAATTTGTATCGTGTTGATATTAATCTAAGTAAAGAAGGTATTATTATGTGTTGTATTCTGTTACCATGGTTGGAGAGCCGCCAAACGACTTGTTGTTGATGGAGTCAACCCACCGAAGAGGTATTCCGATGTCGGATGTGTACGTCAATGATAACGGGTGTGGTTTTCACATGGATTGGGACGAATTAATGTTCGCCGGTTTTTCAGAGTCGGATGATGAAGATAACACCGAGGAGACCGTGAAGAAATGAATTTGTATTTCCTGTCATCACTTTGTATTGTGTTGAGTTTGTTTCTCTGTGATATTTGTCTGGGTCTTTAGGATATTTGTCTGGGTCTCTAGGATATTTGTATGGGTCTTTAGGATATTCATCTGGGTCTTTAGGATATTTTTATGGGTCCTTGGGATATTCCTATGGTTCTACCGGATATCTTGTTGTCTCTTTCAGATATTCTTCTTCCTTTTGATGATGTTTGTTTGAAGAAAGATGGTATTTGTATGGGCTAAATGAGTTTGTATCGTGTTGATATTAATCTAAGTAAAGAAGGTATTATTCTGTGTTGTATTCTGTTACCATGGTTGGAGAGCCGCCAAACGACTTGCTGTTGATGGAGTCAACCCACCGAAGAGGTATTTCCGATGTCGGATGTACGAGTACGACAATGATAACGGGTGTGGTTTTCACATGGATTGGGACGAATTAATGTTCGCCGGTTTTTCAGAGTCGGATGATGCAGATAACACCGAGGAGACCGTGAAGAAATGAATTTGTATTTCCTGTCATCACTTTGTATCGTGTTGAGTTTGTTTCTCTGTGATATTTGTCTGGGTCTTAAGGATATTCGTCTGGGTCTCTAGGATATTTGTATGGGTCCTCAGGATATTCATCTGGGTCTTTAGGATATTTGTATGGGTCCTTAGGATATTCATCTGGGTCTTCTTTGTTCCTCCACATGTTCCTTCTTGTGCCAACTGTTTTTACATTCCACCGGAAGGTGACCCGCCCATAGCTCCATGTAGAGGCATGCAAATACACCACAATCATCGTGGCCAAATTGCTGAGGAACGTCAGCAATGCTGAATTCTCACTCATGCAATTTACAATCCACCCCCTGATGCTTGAGGAACTCCGTCACATACTCAAAGATCACTTTCCCCACTGGTGCATGATCTGCCTTAGCAACTCGGGCATTAGGCTTTTGGCTGTCGAGTAGGAAAGTCTTCCTATTCTTCATGTCAGCGACATACACTCGGTAGTGATCTTTGAGATACATGGGAAAGAAGATCTGAAACACAATACAATTAGTGAGTTAATCATTGACTAATATCCTAACAACCCATATTAATAGCTCAACAGCTCAGAAAAATATCCTATAAACCCATACCAGTATCAAGGAAACTCAGAAAAATATCCAAACATTGAAGACACTTACATAATCACAGCTTTCCAAGTTTTCTCGTTTCAGCATTGGATTATTCTTGTGCAGGTCAATCCACCCCAAGATTCTCTCCTTGCCCATTGGTTTTTTTTATAGCATCATCGACGGCATATTGCTATTTAGAAGAGACAACAATATTAAATTAGACATTTTCAACATAAATAGGATCTAAGTAGTGAAGATAATACTTACCACATAGGTCCATGGGAAGACAATTCTCTTCACCATCTCCTTAGGTTCTTGGTAATTTAGGTACAGCCCGTATACTAAAATGACATGGCTATGAACCCAACTGTTACCCTTTAATGACAATATGTGGTAACGGCTAAGCTTGCCCTTTGGAGTTTCCACGATTATGTTGTGACTGTAAAACACACATTAATATCCAGGTTAGTTAGTAGCCATGAATTTGACAGATTGGAATTGGCGATTAAAGATGAACAACTTACTCGTCTTTAGCTGTGGTACTCCAATGGTGAGCACCTGTTGCAAGTTAGAAGAACAAAGAGCAATGAGTCAATGATCAAGCATACAACAAAAAAATACAATAACCATACAACAAATGGTGAGCACCTTTTTGTTTTCGCCTTCACCAAAAATGAAGCTGCTGGTGCGGATGTCGTAATGTGCCATCAAGGTAGGCAGCATCTGCTTAGGAACATCGACCAGCCGAAGCTCAAATAGGCCTCCAAATCCAGCCTTCTCGATCTCTCTCTTGCAAGCTTCATAGTATCGTGGATCTTGCTTCCAGTCTTTTATAATTGACAACACCTTCTTGGTGCTACAGCGAAATCTATATTGGCGCCCTCCTACTTCTTCAGCAACTTGTCTATATTGGCGCCCTCCTACTTCTTCACCATTTTCTTCGTCCTCGCCATCTTCTTCGTCCTCGCCATCTTCGTCCTCGCCATCTTCGTCCTCACCGTCTTCGTCACCATGGGATTGCCCATCATCGTCTTCATGCTCAATTTCATCATCCACAAAATCAGATTCTTCTTCCTCCTCTTTCTGTTGTTGTTTAGTACGTTTAGGCCTCGAGGTTTCACCTCCTGTTAAGGGCCTCATTGCTGCTTGAGCTTTAGTTCTCGCCATTAATGGTGTTTTCCCTGTACATTAGAATACCCAAATTCGTCAAACTGATATCCAGATACACCAAACAGATATCCAGGCAATTCACCTAAAATATCCAGATATACCAAACAGATATCCAGGCTCGTGAAAATAAATATCCTGCTTCAGATACACAGACCAGAACAGGTGCAACACAGATCCAGTCAAATAAGAAAAAATAAAATCGGGTTACCCAAAATCGTAGCCATGCAGATCAGGAAAATACCCAAACCCATCAACACTCGTATCCATCACACAAACCCCAACCAACCATTAAAGGCGAGCCAGCAAAAACCCACAATCCATTAAACCCTAAATACAATCCATGTAAAACCTAAAAATGAATCTATGAAATCAAACAATCGGCGAATCTATGAAATACAATCCATGTAAACCCTAAATACAATCGGCGAATCAAGCAAGGGGAAGACAAACCGTCACCGTGGCGATGCTTACAAGCCGCAACCGTCGTCGTCGAAGCCTCGCGCCACCGTCGCAGTCGTTGATCGAGTGAGGAAAAGGACCGGCGGCAGCAGAGAGAGGGAGAGGGAGCGGCGACAGACAGAGGGACAGGGAGCGGCGGTGCGGTAGAGAGAAGGAGAGGGAGCGGCGGCGGAGATTGCTTCATGGTCAAATTCACCAACAGGGCTGATTACCTCACCTCCCTTTCAGATGGCCCCTGGATGATCCTCGAACATTACCTGGTGGTTCAGCCATGGTCCCAGGATTTCCGCCTCACAGAGAAGCTCCCACCAAGCATCACACCATGGGTAAGCTTTCCTGCTCTACCTATTCAATACTACCACAATCAGATTTTGACGGTGATAGGCAATCTTTTCGGTAAAACCATCCGAATTGACCCAAACACTCTCACCGTTCAAAGAGGAAAGTTTGCTAGAATGGCTATCGAAATCGACGTCTCAAAACCACTACGCACAAGATTTTGGCTAGATGGGCACTGGCAAGCTGTGGAATATGAAAATCTACCTCAGTTGTGCTTCACCTGCGGCAGAATCGGACATCTAGAAGAGGCTTGCCCCACCAAGCAACTTCTAGAAATAACCGCCGCCGCATCCTCCCCACCGTCGACCCAGAACATTACCCAACATCACCATGAACCAAAAGCTAACTACGGCCCTTGGATGCAAGTCCAGAGACGCAATTGGAGGAATACCAAACCAGGTAAACAGTCCCCCGCCGCCGACAACACTCATCGGGTGAGAACTCAGGCAAACGGTGGCAATACGACGACTCCAAATCTGAACCGACAAGGTAACATCAATATTGTCAGAAGAGGCTCCAATACCCATGATAACAACAATAAACAAAGCTTTGCCTCTGGCCACGACAACGGTATCAACATGGAGGAAGAGCAGAGCATTAATAAAGGAATGGGTGATCTGACTAAGGAAGAAATCGCAGCAAAAGAAAAGTTGAAGATAGCTAAGCTTTCAGCCTCTTCGCTTGCCGCAGTAGAAGATAAAAACAGGAGTAAAACACTAAATGCGGCGCAGCAAAGGAAGATGGCCGAAATCCCTATTTCATCTCTCGGTAACAACAAGAAGACAACCAATACTGGGCCATCCTTCGCCTCTTCTACCCAAGCCCTTCACCTCTACATGCCACAAATCAAAGCCCAATTTACCCATCAATTCCCCCAGCTCAAGTTGATCAAAACAACAAAAATCCATATGATTTGTCAAACCCAGAACAATCCAAAATTCCATTTAATCCCTTTCCCACCCATTCCTATAACACCCACGACACTTCTACTTTCCACCCAACATCTACTTTAATCCCACCATCTGTCAAACTCCCCACTCTTTTAAGCCCCCTGCCTCCAACTACTACTATAGGGAAAAGCCATCTACGATCACATGCATCATCGACCATCCATACATCTTCTTCACTATACGACAAGGTTGGTGCCTCCACTCCCCTACACCTTCCAGGGGTGCATGATCTATCACTACCGCCTATTGTCAAAATCACGGGCTCCAACACGTCAGCACAGCTAGTCCAAGTCCAGCCGTTTGAACATTCAGGCCGAACCGGTCAAATCTCATCTTCTCCCTCGGCAGCAACCAGAACAAAGAAATTCAAAGCTACCAATAACAAAAGCAAGGTCGGAATCCATATTGCCTCGCCATCTAAAATGATACAGGCTTGGACTCCGACACTAGACAAGAGAATCAAAGACCGAGAAAAATCAAGCTCACTATCCCTCCAGGAGATCGCTGCCTGGACTGCACTGGCTTCTGCCAAAAGCTCGTCAAAAACTCACCCTCCACTGAAATCCCAGGAGGAGGTTATGACGGTCCAATCTATTCCACAGACTCCAGCCGGCGAAGAGCAATCCGACTCACCACAACCTGTCACTCCTCAAGGGAGACCTACTAATATGGGTGAGATACCAGAGCAATTACAGACAGTCGATGAGCAGATGAAAGAGACAAAAATGGACCTTGGGAGTGCGGGATGCAGCCCCCCATCCCAAATTTGAATTCAGGGAGTTTTTTCCCCCCTTCTCTTACCCAATTTGTTTATGATGAATTACAAAATTTTTGTATGGAACTGCAGGGGGCGGGTAGTAGAAAATTCCTTCGTGTGTTCGGTGAATATAGGAGAAAGCATAAACCTCAGATAGTGATTATAGTTGAACCACGTATTAGTGGAGATATAGCGAGAGATGTGATTCATAAAATGGGTTTTGATAAGGAATTGGCTGTTGATGCTATTCGATTTTCGGGAGGGATTTGGATTCTATGGAACTCCACTGATATGACCATTACACAGCTTGATGCTCGTCCTCAATTCCTTCATGTGCAGGTTGAAACTCCAGGTATCCGAGAAAACAAGTGGCTCCTAACTGCGGTGTATGCTAATCCAGCACCTATGCAACGCCGAGAGCTATGGGAGGATCTCAGGACGATGTCGGTCAACCAGGATCACTCGTGGATGCTTGTAGGAGATTTCAATTCTATACTACATTCGTCTGAAAAGTTGGGTGGTGCTGCTTTTGATGCAAGCCGCATTCGGGACTTCCAAGACTGTGTGCATGACTCCCGGCTGATCGATTTGGGATACAATGGGCCACCCTTCACTTGGTTTCGAAATGGAGTTCGAGAAAGACTGGATCGTGCCTTAGCCAACAACCACTGGCTCATGCATTATCCCGATGCCGCTGTACGCCATCTGCCCCGGATCAAGTCAGACCACAGGCCGCTCCTGGTCTCCACTGAACCATCGCACACTTTTGCAGGGACAAAGCCGTTCCGCTTCCTTGCAGCCTGGTTAACACATGATGAGTTCCAACCTATGTTGCAGACAGCCTGGGCCAAAGGGTCATCTTTCATCCCTTCGGCAGAGGCTTTTGCGCGGGATGCTAACCATTGGAATCGCCATGTGTTTGGTCATATTCAGAGAAAGAAAGATGCACTTATGAAGAGGTTGGAGACACTGGAACAGAGAGATGGTCATCTGACGACATCACCACAACTTGAAAGTACTAGAGAGGAATTGGAAATGACACTGTTCCAGGAGGAGCTTCTCTGGTGTCAAAAATCAAGGCAAGAATGGATTGCCTTAGGGGACAGGAACACTGCGTACTTCCACTCGAGGACCTTGCAAAGACGCAAGAGAAATAGGATTGCTGCACTCAAAAATCAGCAGGGGGATTGGGTAGAGGAGGAAGAGGAATTGAAGCAATTGGTCACGCAGTTCTTTCAGCACCTATATACAGATGAAAATGAGATTGCTCAAGCTCAAGCGCGGTCTTTCCCTGTAATCGCCGAATCACTATGGCAAGGATTCACTAGCCCACCGGCGCTGAGTGAAATCCAGAAGGCAATTCAGTCCATGGGAGCTCTGAAAGCTCCAGGAATCGACGGACTAAACCCACTTTTTTTCCAGAGGTGTTGGATGACAGTTGGTGAATCGCTGGCTCAGCTAGCAACAAAGTGTTGGGAGGATCCAAGCAGAATAAAGAGCATCAACGCCACGATTTTGGTTTTGATTCCGAAAATTGCTACACCAACTTTGATTGAGCAGTTTCGGCCTATAAGCCTATGCAATGTGGCATATAAAGCTCTCACAAAATGCCTGGCAGATCGATTAAGGCCTCTGATGCCACTACTTATACATGAAACTCAAACAAGCTTTGTGCCGGGACGACATATAACAGATAATATCTGCATTCCGCAAGAGGTGGTGCACTCCATGAGGGAGAAGAAAGGAAGACGTGGGTGGATGGTTCTCAAGGTCAATTTGGCCAAGGCTTATGACCGTATTCGTTGGAATTTTGTCCGGGACACGCTTGAAGCCGTGGGAGCACCATCACCTTTTTTCGAAGTTACCATGGCTTGCATAACTTCTGCAAGCATGCAGATCCAGTGGAATGGCGGATTGACCAGCCCTTTCCTTCCTTCCCGCGGCCTGAGACAGGGATGTCCTCTATCTTCTTATATCTTTACCTTGTGTATGGAACGCCTTGGGCATTTGATTAACGATTCTGTAGGGGCTGGAAAGTGGCAGCCTATCAAACTGACCAACTCTGGACCAGCTCTTTCTCATTTGTTTTTTGCAGATGACCTAATTCTGTTCGGGGAAGCTTCTATGCAGCAAGCACAGGCCATCACTCAATGCTTCGAATTGTTTGGAGCTGCCTCGGGCCAGAGAGTTAGCAAGCCAAAGTCGAGGATTTTTTTCTCACCAAACGTCAGCACCGCATGCAGACTGGAGCTAAGCGCAGAACTACAGATTCCACAGACAGACAACCTCGGACGTTACCTAGGAGTTCCTGTTATCCATGACAGGGTGTCCAAGGCCACATATACTGAGCTGATAGACAAAGTGGACTCCCGTCTAGCTGGGTGGAAGGTAGAGAAGATGAGCATGGCTGCAAGAGTCACTCTGGCGCAGTCAGTACTATCGTCTCTCCCGTCCTACACGATGCAAACTTCTTTCCTCCCCGCAAGTGTTCGGGATTACATAGACAAAAAGATCCGGGCATTTATTTGGGGGAGCACGGAAGGCGGACGGAAGGTTCATTTGATCGATTGGGAAAAAGTTTGCCGACCAAAAGAAGAAGGAGGACTTGGGTTGAGGACAGCTACTCGATCCAATGAGGCATACATGCTGAAAATTGCATGGCGATTGATAAAAAATCCAGATGAGCTGTGGGCACGAGTGATTCTGCACAAATACATGAAAGTTTCGGACGAGGGTTTTCTACCTCGCAGAAGCGGACGTCTCTCTAATCTGTGGCGTGGGGTCCTCCGTATCTGGCACATGTTAGAGGAAGCCACAGTTTGGAACATACAAAATGGAAGACGGGCGCGATTTTGGAGAGACAGATGGTTGACTAACGGCGAACCTCTGATGACTTTTGCTCCAAATGTTCCTGTGGAAGCCCTTAACATTCCGGTGGCTGAGTTTGTGCTGAATGGTAAGTGGAACATTGAATATATATCATATTACTTACCGCCTGAGTTGGCTTCGCAGGTACTGCTCCATCCGGTGCCTACGGTGCAAACCGATGACGTTAGATGCTGGCGATTATCGGCGGATGGAAACTTCACATTCAGTTCGGCGTACGAGATCACCGGCGGGGACGAGCCAGCAAATCTTCACCGCCACCCAAGATGGAGAGCCATTTGGCGAACCCCGACGAATCAGAGAACGAGAACATTTCTTTGGCTAGCAGCGCACCAACGCCTTCTCACCAATGCGGAACGAAAGAGACGCCACCTTACAGGGGATGATAGCTGCAAAATTTGTGGAGCAGGACCTGAAACCACCATGCATGTACTCAGGGATTGTCCTTTTGCGCGAGCTACGTGGGCGGGATTGCTACAAAATGAGCCGGACCAAGACTTCTTTGGACGAGCTCAAGCTGATTGGATGTTCCATTACACAGCGGGGCATGGGCGAGTGATCGATAGTACCCTCTTTGCAGGTACTTGTTGGCTTCTATGGAAGAACCGGAACAACTTCTGCTTCCAGGGTGAGCTACAGTCATTTGCACAAATTCAGGCTAAATCTGTACAGTTGAAGCAACAAATCATTCAAGCTTCAGAAAAGGAGAGTACGATAATCGGAGCCGGGGGACTCCGAACACCGAGAGATATCAAGTGGCAGCCACCACAACATGAGTGGGTGTGCCTCAACACAGACGGATCAGTGACCAACTCTCCTCTTAGCTCGGCGGCTGGCGGAGTCGTGCAGGGAGACGACGGCCGCTTCATTACAGCTTTCACTATGAACCTTGGGGGAGGTTCAGTAACGAGTGCAGAGTTAGCCGGAATTGTGCAAGGATTGAAACTCACTTGGGAGGCAGGAGTTCGGAAGGTGATTCTGCAGACAGATTCCACCACAGCGAAGCATCTTATTGAAGTCGCCACACCACACCATCGACACTACACAAGCGTCGCCGAAATACGACGTTGGCTCGCGAGGGACTGGCAAGTCCACATTGTCCATGTTTACAGAGAGGCAAATGTTGTTGCAGATTATCTCGCTAATTTAGGGCATTTGTGTTCAGTAGGTTCCCATGTTATTGCAGCACCTGATGCTGCTCTTTCTTATTGGTTGTACCATGACATTATCGGGGTCGGAACGACCCGCTTTATTATTGAATAAAGGTTAGGGTGCCCTTTAAGCGCCCCACTTCGCACCAAAAAAAAGAAGTTAGTTCGAGAGCCATTCCAAGGAATTGAAATAGAATTTTCAAATAAATCTAAGAAGTATTTTACTATTTTTAATAAAACAAATGTGCACATTTATTGGGAGTGGATGA